GGATAACTCTCTCTCACATTCTCTCTTTATCCCTTCGTCTTCTACCTCGCGACACCACTAGTAGGAGAAGTCGACGAAGAGAGAAAAGGTGAGAAACTCTCTGCAAAACTGTACGGGCTTAATATTATACACAATACTCGATTTCTCATTTATCATAAGGTGCTTTTTGTTTCTGGATTTTTTTCTCTTTCCTATTATCCAATCCATGCTCTGCGCTACGCTCCAGCTTTCTGTTTGTTTTCCGTCAGAAATTTTCCAGGAAAGTCGATCGAGTTTTCCTTTTTTTTATTCCCATTTTCGTCGCTTATGATGTGATTTATCAGTCGCTGAATCGCTTAGTCTCCTTGATTTGGTTTGTGCATATTCAATTTCTTCTGCAACTTTCTGTTTTACCTGTTTCTGCAAATGAAGTTTTCCAGAAACTGCATCTCTCCGTCGTTTTCTCCGATTTTAGGTTTAAGCTTATCTCTCTATTTCTCTCCCCACTCTCGCTCTCTAGTCTATACATTCGCAACAGCTTTTGATTTTGGTCAAGGATTTTCAGATTTCGCAACAGCCGTAGGTTCTTCGAGCCGCGTAAATCTCGATTTTCGTCTATTTAACTGTTCATTGATATGATGGATCAACAATACTAGTCGTGTGATTTGATACTGAAAAAGTTTTCTTCGTCCTCTTTCCTCTGATTTTCTCCAGATTTTCCGGTGTAAGTCACATCGACGCTACGGTGCATAGACCCAGAGACGACTAGTCAGCTTCATAATCAAAGCTTAGATTTCCGACGTCTGTGCTCATGAGCCGGCGGCGAATTTTGTTATCGGCGGTTTTTCTCTCATACTTGCTTCACGGAATGGCTTTCGTCTCCGTCGGTAATTTTTTTTTTCTCAAATCAAATGTTGATTCTCTTGTTTCTTAACACCTGAGTATTAACAAACGAAATCTCATGGTTGAATCAGGAGGCGTGGAGGTTGTTAGTGAGAATCTGGATTTGACTAAAACGACGACGTTATCGACCTCTTCGCATCGGAAAATGCTTCTTCTCTCTCCTGGTAAGGGGGATTTTAATTTTGGAGTTTACTTCATTACCCAAATCAGTGATTATTCTTCGTGTTGATTTTGCTTAATCGTGCTGGTTCCCAATTTCGTAAAGTCCTCGTGAATTGTGGTTTTTTTGTTGGCTTTTCTGGGCTCTCTGCAAATCACAAACACACCTTCCTGATGCGTTCGTCGTCCTTTTTTTGTTTTTCATAGCAGCGTCGTCAGTCTTTTGCACGTCTGTGTTTTCTTGCTCCCCTTTTGTTTCGTTGTTCGTTATACTTTTTTTTGGTGGACCCAAATTTAGAATTTTACCAAGGCAAAACAGCTTCATACTTCATCCAGCTGTCAATCAGTAATTTTTTTTTGATGCATTGAGTCAATTTTCAACATTATTGTCGTATTCGTCATTTCTTCGTACTCGTGTATATGTAACAATGAAAACTCAAATTCCTCTGTTTTTTGTTTTAAAGGAAAAAAGGCAGAAACGAGAGCAGAGCCGGATAGGATCGGAGAGAAGTGCAAGAGGTCGGATATAGTGGTGAACCAGGCAGCAACCGAGCCGATGCCGAACGGAATACCGGGTTACACGGTGGAGATAACGAACCAGTGTATGTCTGGATGCAATATCTCTAGAATCCACGTCAGCTGCGGTTGGTTTAGCTCGGCTAAGTTGATAAACCCGAGAGTCTTCAAGCGTATTCACTACGATGACTGTCTCGTCAACAACGGCAAGCCTTTGCCTTATGGCTCCACACTCTCTTTCCATTACGCCAACACTTTCCCTTACCCTCTCTCTGTCTCCTTCGTCACCTGTTCGTAAAGGTTGCATTTTTTTTTGTTCCTTTAGCTTTTATAGGATAAGATAGTAGAAACAGGGAGGGTATTTAAGATACGGAAATATCAAATATGAGATTAATCATGTTCATACCATACTCTCTAGTCATCCTCTTTTTGGGTTTATTTTGGTCTCCCGGGATGTGAAATGTTTTGAGCAACATGAATAGATAAAAAAGAATATATATTGCTCTTTTTCCCCTCTATAGGCTCTAATCTCTCTACTCACTACCTTTGGCTATAGTAGCAGCTCGAAAATGTCAAGATTTATCAAGCTTCGGGTTTAATGCCAATCGTGCTCTTTGAATATCATTCTCACATTATGACTTACTACACAGTTTCCCCCTCCTTTACTCTGATGACGCACTAAACAGTAACACCTAATGAAAATATCAAAACTTGTGAAACAAATTAAAATATTGTAGGCTTACATTCATGTGAATTGCCGATCAACATAAATGTTGTAGTCGGCTTTATATCACAAATTATTGTAAATTTTCCAGAGATATTTCCTTGTTAGCCAAGGAAGCTCTTCCGTACCCTAAAGCTATTTGTTCTGCCGTGACTTGATAGAGAAAATCATGGAAATTCTCTCGGCTATAGGCTCCTCAGTTTGGACTATGTTGGTCCAAATAGCAATCTGGCGGCCAATGCAATAGCTATTAGTTGTAAGGAAATGTAAAACAGAGAAGATTTATGCTCAAATGAGCTTATTTAGATAAAATGGAAATAGCTCATAAGAGCTGTAAAGATAAAATGAAAGAACTTATTGTGACCAACAACAACTCAAAAGGATTTTGGTTTATATGATACGAATAAGTACACTGATACGTGGCACTAAGTATCATATGCTTATTTAAATTGGCCTATTGCATTTAAGCATTGATGCTATGGGACTTGCTTACTCAAAATTCTAATCTTATGCATTGTGAACAAACATTTAGAAGAATCGGTTGGTTTAATAGGAAGATGTCCATTAACTATGAGCTAAGATCTGGGTTTTGGTTAATAAGGCTGAGTGTGATTACGGAGCAGCCAAGGTGATGTTGTGATTGCTGGAGGAGCGGTTAAGATCCTGTTAGAGATGGCAGAAGTAGTGAACGCATCGGGAAAACAGCTGGGAAGCAACAATGCTCTCAACAACGCAAGAGCCACTCTTGCAGCAATGCTACAGATGAGACAGTTTTGTGATGTTTCTCTTGATCGTGCGATCCCCATGGAAGGACTCTGGAAGTAAACAAACTCTCAGCTGCCATTGTTTTTTTTCTATTCGCTCCTCTGTTTTGAGCTTATATTGGCTTTATTTTGACTTTTCTTTTACTTAGTACCCTATTGGTATCAGATTATGAAACTCCCTTTTGTATTACCCTCGATTAATAAAAGTGTTAAAAAACAAAAAACATTTGCTCCTTGTCCTTGATGACTTGATGAAATTTTTGAAGGAAGGTAGAAAGGTTTCAAGATTATAAACTTACATCTAGAAACATGAGATGAAGTTTATGCAAAGCTTTGATAACCTCCACTATCAAAGTTAATGTTTTAAACTCATTATCAAAGCTTTGCATAAACTCCATCTCATGTTTCTCCATTATAAGCTTTGCATAAACTCCATTCTCCAGCCATATGACGGTCTAGTACCATCTGTAGCTTGTAGAAAATCTCCATTTGCAAAATACCTAGCAAAGACATGAGTTCTTTGAAACCAATTCCTCCTAAAGACTTTGGTAATGTCAATTTCTCCCAACCTACCCAGTGAATCTTCTTTCGAAAAATCTCAGAGCTCCACCAAAAATCCATCATTGCGCTTGTCAAGTTCTTACATAACTCCACTGGAAGCTTGAAACAAGACATAGCAAAAACTGGCATTTCCATAGCACAAGATTTGAGAAGAACCTCTTTTCCTCCTTGAGATAGATTCTTAGCATACCAACCCGTCAGCTTCTTCTTACAACTATCTTTGATATTCCACTCATACACTCACTCAGGTAATCCAAGATACTTCCCTGTTCCTCCTTCCAACTGAATACCAGTTCTTTTTTTTATCCATCCTTTAGTCTCTTCTACAACCTTTGCTCCGAAAGTGATTGCAGATTTGGATACATTAATCTGCTGACCTGAAACACTCTCATAAACATTCAAGCAATTCATGATCTCCTCACATTCTTCTTTGGATGCTTTACACATAAACCAGGTGTCATCCGCAAACAGCATATGATTAATTGAAGGTCCTTGTTGATGGAATCTCACCAAAATACACTTGATGCGAATATACTCTGTACATACGATTCTCACATTAATCAAGAATTAGATGCCAATATGCTCTGTACATATGATTCTCACATTAAGCAAGAACTTGATGCTCTGTACTTCGGCAAGCAAAAGGAAAACTGAGCAAGACTCAAACTTGTTAATTTCATAAACAACAGAAGCACACTTACATAGTTTGGACAAAACATAATCAAACATTGTGACTTTTGAAACTGAGAGAAAACTACCCCGAAAGAGTCAAGACTTTTACAAGCACACATACTAAGTAACTAAACAACTTAAGGAACTCAATTCTGAACTCACACTTGAGTTGTTTCCTCGGGCTGCGGTGGTGGTGGTTGTGGCAGTGGCGATTGCTCTCCCATCTTTCCCCAAAGCACAGATGAGATGCCGAGGATGATGACGAAGGAACCAATGATCCTCCCGACAAACAGTTGTTCGGAGAGAACCACTGAACTGATGACTGCTGTGGCAATCAAGTTCAGCGGGTTGAAAATGCTCACAAAAACTGGCCCCTTCTTCTTGACCATCCAGCTAAGTAGGTACACAGTTGCTGCCGAGAAACAACCCTACAGATTCATTCCAAAGGTGTCAAAGCATGAGACTGAAAATATGAAAAAGAGAGAAGTATCAAAAGACTTCTCAACTTACCCCGTATAGTGACGCCAATAGTGCCACGTCAGGACGGATCTTCCAGGCTTTGGGAGTGTTTCTCTCCCATATACAAGCTGTGAAGGTAGATCCAATTGTCCCCATTATGCAGATGAGAGCGGTCAGTGACAGCTTCGCCTGGTATGAAGCTACTACATTGGCCTGAAACATGAAGCCAAACTGTTAAGGGTTTATGGTTTGTAAAACATTTAAGGAAAAGATCTCAGGGATTTACCTGAATCATCATATAAAATGACCAGCTTAGGCAGCTGGAAACTAGCATCAATCCTCCTTTGACGTAGTCCTTCGCGAACTTCTCATAGGTATGAATCTTTTCAGAGTCCTCGCTTGTCCACGGTAACGGAATCGCATGACCTCTCCAAAATGTCATGATCATTGCTCCTCCAACGGCGACACAGGTTCCAAGCAGCTTCGCTCTTCCACGGTGACAGTGAATAGCCACTTTCTCAAACCTTGTCAAACAGAGAAAACAGACAGAACATATTCATTACAAAGTCACCACACTAGATGAATTGAACAAACTCGTTTGATCATTCCCAAAGGTTTCACTTAAGTTACAAAGTCACCACCCTAAGTGAATGAACAAACTCGTTTGATTATTCCAGAGGGTTTCACCTAAGTTACAAAGTCACCACACTAAATGAATTGAACAAACTCGTTTGATCATTCCCAAGGGTTTCACTTAACTTACAAAGTTACCACACTAAATGAATGAACAAACTCGTATGATTACTCCAAATGGTTTCACCTAAGTTACAAAGTCACCACACTCAATGAATGAACAGCTCGTTTGATTACTCCAAAGGGTTTCATCTAAGTTACAAAGTTACCTGAATACGCAGGCCATCGCAAATGTTATGGCTGGGAGTAAGTTAAACATCCCAGAAGTGAAAGTTGGCGTAGTGTACTGCATTCCTGAATAGTACAGGTTTTGCTCCAGAAGTGGCCTGTACGTACAAAAGATTGATGTAAGATAATGAAATTACGAATGGGGGAAGACGACTGGTACAAAAGATTAGTTACTTACTCAAACATGCTCATGGTAAGGATCTGAGCGAAAACTTTGACAGTCATAGGAGGTCTGGTATTCCTATAAATTTCAAGCAATTAAAGATATACCAAAGCAAACAGAAAACAAAACATAAAAGGAATGCAAACTAAATTTGAGTTTACCTTTCAAATATGAGAGCAAGAGGTGTTAAAATCAAAGAGGCAATGGCCAATCGCTCGGCCACGAAGATCCTAGGACTCAGACCAGAATCAAGAGCGTATTTGGCGATTATGGACATGATTTGAAGGATGACTGCAGCAACAACGGGTAAGAGATTTGAATTCATGTTTGCAAGTGAAGTAGAAGAGTAAGAGACAAATGAGAGACTAAAAAACAGAAGCTTCCTTAAGATATTACAACAATCAAGAGAAATGAGAGAGTTAATGATCTCTCATGACTTCAAATATGATATGTAGCATTTCGAAAAGCTATCACGAACTGGGTATAACAAACAAACCACCTTATCTATTGTCCTAAGCCTAGTAAAACTTTCTTCTCTAAGAAAGTGTGTCAATAATAACCACCTTATCTACGTTAATGTAAGCGGTCCTACATACAATCTAATAATAGTTGGAGACAAATTCTATGAGTTACTAACGTTATGCAAATATTTCAAGACAGGTTCAACGTATGATAATATTATGTACTTACAGAACTGTCAACCCAGATTAATTTGGCTACGATTGGTAAGACGTTGATCTCCTTTGTAAATCTTTTAAATAAAATGCTCAATCCAGAGATCGCTTTTCGTTTATATATAGTTAGACCATCTCCATTCCAAAACAAGATATAACTCATATCATTGGGCTCAAACAACTTAACAAGCAAAATAAAAACAAGATACTTGATGCCTCAATCATCCGTTGTTTCAAAGCACAAACATGTTCTGAAAAGAGAGAAAAAAGAAGACATAACTTCTATACAATTTCCAGATGATCATAGACAAGATACTAGATGTATCTAAAGATGTTTTAGAGTTGTTCCTATCTCAAGAAGATACATTTGAAGACAACAACAACTATGAAGGCAAACAAAAGCATCTGTTCGAAATTAACCAGAGCTAATTTCGGCAAATCTTCTTCTGAGATAAGAATAATATACACAAAGGATGAGGAATATAGATTCTGAAACAAGCCTTAATCACATCCTTTGTAGCCATAATTCTCTAGCAACTCAACAATTCTATACACAGATTGCAATTTTGAAAGGCAAGAGACATATTCATCATGCTCTAATCGAATTAACTAAAGGCAACACGGATTCGAAAAGATAAAAACGGTTCACCTTTTTGCCATCATCGATTAGAACAGGATCATCGCAGAGAGAGAGAAACAGAGCTCCTTCATCGATGAGAAATCCCGCGATCGAGGAACCAGAGATGCGTTATGCGTTATGCGGCGGAAGAAACTTCTGCCATGCAATATCTGACTTTACCGCCGATTCAAAGGCTCGCGAAACGGAAGCGTCTCTCAGTGGTAACGGAGAAGGAAAGAGAAGGGAAGAAGAATGTTTTTTTTTTTTTAAATTAAATCATGCAATCAGACGCTGACACGTATGCCCTCGTCTCGAGATACTACGGTAAGTTGATCTTCTTCTCGATGAGTTTGGTGTCTAATTTTGTGTTTTTTATGTTCTCTTCAATATTTCTCTTATGATTTTGTTTTTTGCTGTTTGGATTTGCTTTTGGCGATGAGAGCAGCCCGAACTACCTCCGATCGAGCTCGATTTCGTCTGTCAGTAGTCAGGTATCCCAATTTTCGTGCTCAGATATTTCCCAATTTGCGATTTTTTTGTCTGAGTTCGATGCTTCAATTCGTTATGTACTCGGCTCGTTCTCTTTGATTCTGATTCCTGCTTGATGAGTTCGATACTTCGATTTCTTCTACCTGCTCCATGTGTTTAAATTCATGTTTGATGGTTGCAAAACTTAAAGGTTGATGCGCTTCGGGTCAAATACTTACTTTCGGGAAGGATTTTAGAATTTGGGGAAAATTATGTGATAGATACTTTTCAGAATGCAAGGTTTAGTGACAATGGTGCTTTTGGATATTCCAACATTATTTATGGCCAAAATGAATCTTAATTTGCTAATCAAAGAGAGAATGTGATACGTTATCATTTTTTAATCCAGCTTTGTTTGTTAATGGTCAAATCTGTTTTCGATATATTTGCTAGATGTATTGGATTAACGGTTATGTAGCGACCTGAGCTTTGTTATGTGAATTTGTTCAACCGGAAGCTTTGGCTGTCTTGTAGCTGTCATGTTTTACTAGTTTGTGTTGCTGAATTAGTTGTATTTTGAGGCAATCTTATTCTCACTGTACTCTTTTGCGTCGTGCTTTGCAGGGCATGGAGTTGCACCCTCGAATCGGTTAGAACTTTGACATCAAGGTTTTTACTAATTGCAGATTTGGTATGATGTCTTGGGCAGTTCTTGCCGTCACGTACTGTATAAAACAGGTACTTCTAGATAAGAGTTCCAAACTCTTACGGCATAACCTGGAGTCTTTATTTGATCAGAGCGCCTCACCTATTTCATTTTGTGGTCTCTATACTTTGTCTTCAACCAGTATGAAATAAATGGGAAAGTGTCTGATTCAGTGCTGGTGTATACCACAAAATTTTCAAATTCACATCATCATCGTCAACAAAGTTGCTTTACTATTTGGCTAATACAGGTATATGATGATCTAAAGCTAACATTTTCCATATGCTTTATAATTTGTGATTTTCAGCTGGCTTCTGTATTTGCTGGGGGTGTGGGTGCATGTATAACATAGTGAACCTACTGTTTTCAAAACGCCACCAAAATCTCAATTTGCTAAGCCTGAGGATGGATCAGACTTACCTGTGAATACGAGTCTCGTTTTCGTCTGTGATTCCTCCACTTACTCATGGTCGGCGCTCCGTCAGCTTCTGCAAATACTCGGGATGCCATTGACGACTAAGCTTCAAAGCGGCACTATACTTGGTCGGGTGGCAATCCGAAATCTTTGTACTCACAGCTCAGCTATTGGTCATCTCCATCTGATAGTACTAGAGTGTGACATAATCAGAATCGGTTACAGAGAGATGACATCCGGTTTACATTATTCTAACCAAGAATAATCACATGGTTTAGTGTAACCGGTTCTGAGTATGTCACACTCTAATAGATAGATCGGGCGATCTATAATCGGCTTTCATCTCTGCGAGCATCTAAGATTTATTGCTCTTTCTCTCCCATTTAAATTTTACTATAACCTTCAAGATCCCAATCTCCATGTGTCTTTCCCTCGCGTTTTTAGTGTTTTGTTTTTTCCAACACGTATGACGTATCCAAGTGTTTTTTTAAGCAAGTCCTTCCTTTTTCTTGGTCAAACTTTTTTTAAGTCATACGAAAAATTATATATTTACAGAAACATGTATCCTATTTACAGAAACTATATATTTATAAAAATTCTTTTTGCATTCAAAAGTCATAACACATATATCTATAATATAATATTTAACAAAAATTCCCATACAAAATATTTCCGGTCAAAGTCGATGTTCTTTGGAAACGGTAAGGATTTTTTTCCAAAAAAATATAACGATTTTGTAAAACTCAATACCATAGTTACCATCAATTAGTGATTGTCTTAATCATTCACAAACATAATTTTTAGTATAAATACAGGGATAATAAGACTTAATTTCATACTATCAAATATTTTTTTATGTGTGCGTCATTCTCATTTCACATTATGTTTCGTGTTGTTTTGTTCATGGTTTTTCTCTTTGGTGGTCTTTGTGAGGCAACTGTGCATATACAAACTGACATCATCAATGATATCGGTCCAAATGTTCAATTAAGGCTACACTGCAAATCTAAGGATAAGGATCTCGGGCCACAGTCTTTAGCTTATCACCAACACTATGGATTTAGAGAACCAATTAACTTTTTGGTCACAACTTTGTTTTTTTGTCACTTTGAATGGGAAAATCAGTCTAAATGGTTTGATATACTTGTAGCTGTGAGAGATAGGAATACATGTGAAGATCATCCGTGTATCTGGAGTATAAGACCTAGTGGCCCATGTAGATTAACAGGTCAAGAAGTATGTTACCCATGGAATTGAAAAAATATGTAATAACTATAAATTAATAAAATATCAAAGGTATTATTTCCATTGTCTGTCTTTGTATAAGTAAACATTCGTTTCAAACAGCAACGCCTGATGAAAGTATCAAAACGTTATAATGTAATATTAAGTGACAGTGTCACAAATAAGGTTTCAAATTATGGATTTACATCTTATAGTCATGCATGGAATGCAACTTCATCCTTCAAAAAAAAGCTATGCAGATTCTTCTGACGAATAGAAGAGAGAAAATGGAAAACACTGAAAACTTTATATGTTTCATATACTTTTTTTGAAAAACAGTTGTGCGATAGTGATAGTGCGGATATTCACTAGTGATAAATAAAGGGTAAGCCAGATTGGGGAACATACCATTTTTCATTAACATGAAATTGTGACTCTACAAGATAACGTGATATTTGATAAAATGGCGTCTTATTAAACGAGATAACGACATGAATAGAGGCTTAGCGATAGCTGATGCGATAATAGCCCATCTTTCTCATAGCCATCATCGACTTGAGCATTTACCGATTTATCAAAGTATCAACGTCAAATATATTCGTGCATGAAATTAAAGAAACTGTATCCTTCATGAAAGCTATGCAAACACTCTTCTCACGAATAGAAGAGAGACAATGGAAATCAATAAAAACTTTATTTGTTGCATTTTTTTTTTAAGTTGTCACATAGGCCATAGTGCGGATATTTCACATAGTGATATATACAACATGGCGAAAATACCATTCTTCATTTTTATGAAATTGTGATTTTATAAAATTATGTGATATATGATCAAATGGCGTCTTATTGGACGAAATAACGATCATGTATTCATGTATCATGCCATAAGACTGGTAGTGTGTTTTTTGATTAATTAAATAGCGTATTAGAAAAATAACATGCTAAATCATGCACAAAATGATTAGTATGTTGTTTCCCTTATACAGATTAAAAGTTACCAACGTCATCTACCCTACTTATATAAGAAAAACGTACGATTATCTAGTTTATGTATATTCTGACTCTTTCTTCTTTTTTTGCCGATTGGCTTTTACGATTGAAATTTCTTTCTTTGTTCTATCAAAAACCTTCCTTGTTCTTCAATTTGCTTTATAATTGTGCTCAGAGAATCTGTATTATATAATGCTGTGTGAAAAGAACAATGAATGAGAATAAAGAGCACAACAACATTTTTTCTTTCTTCATAGGTACATAATTAATTATCTTCATCACACAGTAATCCTTAAAGAACTACTAGTAACCTATACAACTTCCGTTTATTACAACAACTTGGGACGCGAATGAAGTATACCAGATAGTGTGAAACAAAAAAAAATAAAGGACAAGAGATGATGGATAATTCAAAAGAATCTAATCATTTTCTACACATACAAAGCTTTGTTGAAATTCAAGGTTATGATACTCCACAGCTTAAAGGGAAGCTTTACTTTTACTTTAACCTTTCTTTTTGATTTTTGTTTTCTTCTGTATACCGGGTTACACGGTGGAGATAACGAACCAGTGTATGTCTGGATGCAACATATCTAGGATCCACGTTAGCTGCGGTTGGTTTAGCTCGGCTAAGTTGATAAACCCGAGAGTCTTCAAGCGTATTCACTACGATGACTGTCTCGTCAACAATGGCAAGCCTTTGCCTTATGGCTCCACACTCTCTTTCCATTACGCCAACACTTTCCCTTACCCTCTCTCTGTCTCCTTCGTCACCTGTTCTTAAGAGTTGATTTTTTCTTTTCTTTTCTTTTAGCTTTTATAGGATAAGATAGTAGAAAACAGTGGGGAAAATTAAGATACGGAAATATGAGATTAAGATCATATTCAATACCACAGTCATCCTCTTTTTGGGTTTATTTTGATCTCTTGGGATGTGGATTGTTTTGAGTAACAGTAGTAGATAAAAAGAAAGAATATATATTAAACTCTTATTCCCCTTTGTAGCGCGAAAATGAGAAAACTTTGAATCCCTTGAACAAGCCTATTGGTATGACGATCATCATTAATATTGTAGTAGGCTTCACAATAAAATGGGTAAATTTCCATAAGAAAATTTTCATATTTTCTACTTATTGTACTCACGCTCCTTAATCTAAACGGTCCTGATTCAATTGAAAACAGTCAGCATTTCTTAAGTTATTCTCATTATAAAAAAAAGTTGGAGACTCATACAAGAATATGAGAGAAGAGCATTTGGCCAATAAAAATTAAAGAACACTTGTACATAGTAACAACCTTTCCGAACATTTGTATAGATTATTAAGAAGGCGGTATACGCGGATCATGTTCGTGATCGTGAGTCGTGACATAGAGAGGATAATCTCTAATAGGATCCACTCCCTTGGATACCATGGAACACCGCACCTAAGGGATGTAATACCTTTTGTTTGCATACAAAAAATAATACCATTTCCTTGCTAGGATAAGCTTAACTTGATTTGAGGATACTAGATACTCATAAATGGTTTGCATTAATTTAAAATATGGCTGCTGAACACACCAATGTCTTTCAGACTAAATGAAACTTCCACACTATAACTAGAACAGTAGAACCTAACAGAAACAAGCACAGGTTGATAAAGCCAAACAGAATGATAAAGAGGATAAACGAGCCCCTAAAACTCTCTTTTTAACAGCCCAAGCCACATAGTCGAGCTATGTATTGGTTTCCCACTTTTCCGAAGACTCTCAAACTTCAGGTGGTGTTATTTGGATTGTGTGTGGTTTATACTAATTTGGGTAGATTTTACTAATTTACTTGTATTTCCTTCAGTCCTTGTAATGAATTTTAAAAATCTAATTATAAGTACAAAATCCAGTACAACATCATTACACAAAACAAATACTTGTCCAATAACAGCGAAATATGTTCTTTAACATACAGAAATGAATGAATATCTCCAGATTTTCTCAATTCAATTAAAATACAATATCCAATTAGAGATAAGAACAGTGTGAACAGAGAGAGTAGATTGTTGCCTTTGAGAAAACGGTTAACCAGATCAGATGTGAAATTAAAATACCGAGACGTTTGGGATACGTCACTCTATAAGGTTTAAAGTGTCAATAAAAGAACATCATCACTTGAGAGAAAAAAACAGACAATTCAAAACAGAACAACATGACTTGTTGTCTGAATGCAACGTTACTCTTCTCTTTCCTCTTCTTCTTCCCATCCTTCACATTTTCCACCTTGTTGTTTCAGGTGATTATACTCACTGTCTTATACAGTTTCGTGTTTCCCGATTCTAATTCGGTTTGGTGACAGGGTTTCAATTGGGAGTCATGGAAGAAAGAAGGAGGATTCTACAACTCTCTCCACAACTCCATCGACGACATTAGCAACTCTGGAATCACTCATATCTGGCTTCCTCCTCCTTCTCAATCCGTCTCTCCTGAAGGTCCATTTCTCTTCTTCTTCTTCTTTTTCACTTTCCTTATCTCACTCCAATTCTTTCAATCTCCTCAGGCTACTTACCGGGGAAGCTATACGATCTAAACAGCTCCAAATACGGTTCAGAGACGGAACTGAAATCCCTAATCGCAGCGCTGAATCAAAAAGGAGTCAAATCTGTTGCTGACATCGTGATCAACCACAGAACGGCTGAGAGGAAAGACAATCAGTGCGGCTACTGTTTCTTCGAAGGCGGGACTTCCGATGATCGTTTAGATTGGGGTCCTTCCTTCATCTGTCGCGGCGATACTAACTATGCCGGCACCGGAAACCCTGATTCCGGCGAAGATTACAAGCCGGCTCCCGACATCGACCACCTTAACCCCGTAGTCCAGAGAGAGTTGTCGGAATGGATGAATTGGCTCAAATCTGAAATCGGATTCCACGGCTGGAGATTCGATTTCGTTCGTGGCTATGCCCCTTCCGTCACCAAATCATACGTTCAGGTCAAAATTGTTTGATACTATTTCTTTTTAATTATAATTTAGAGTCTCTTAATTTTTTTTATAAATTACTCTGCAGAACACATCACCGGATTTTGCGGTGGGCGAGAAATGGGACGATATGAAGTACGGAGGAGATGGGAAGCTGGATTATAATCAGGAGGAGCACCGGTCGGGGCTCAGAAACTGGATCGAGGAAGCAGGAGGTGGTGTGACGACGGCTTTTGATTTCACGACCAAAGGGATCTTGCAATCTGCGGTTGGAGGTGAGCTTTGGAGACTAAAGGACTCGCAGGGGAAGCCGCCTGGTCTGATCGGAATCATTCCCGGAAACGCAGTCACTTTCGTAGATAACCACGACACTATCAGACCAAACTCGTGGGCTTTTCCTTCCGACAAAGTCTTGCTTGGTTACGTTTATATTCTTACTCATCCTGGCACTCCTTGCATTGTAAGTACATGCTTTAGAATCGGAGAGTTTGGTTTAAGATTTCATTTCGGTTTAATCATGATTCGGTTTGGTTTGTTTCATTTTGATTGATACACTGTTGGTTTTGTTCGGTTTGGTTAGGTTACATTAAAATAATAAAATCTATGTTTCTCTAATGCTTCATGCAGTTTTATGATCATTTCATGGAATCGGGACTAAAGGAGAGTATATCGAAGCTGGTGGCGATCAGGAAGAGAAATAGCATTGGTAGCACAAGCTCTGTTACGATTAAAGCGGCCGAGTCGGATCTCTACTTGGCTGTGATCGATGATAAGGTTATAATGAAGATTGGGCCCAAGCTGGATTTGGGAACTCTTGTTCCTTCTGATTTTGCTTTAGCTTATTCTGGCAATGACTGTGCTGTCTGGGAGAAGAAGTGACCCGATTCGTCAAGTTCGCTATAAGAATTTAAAAACACTCACCGAATGCAACCTTTTACCTTTTTAATATCATGATGGTTTGTAAGATATTTAAAGAAATAAATTATAAACTTAATAATCAACAAAATAACCAGAGTTTTGTATTCTAATGATTTGCTCTAATGTTTGCTAATGTATTACGTACCACTAGAATCAAATTTGAATTGCGTATGGAAGAATGCCGGTTGTAGGTAATACAAGTATACAACTATACAAAGTATATAAATGGAAAAGTTGACAAAATAACACTTCATATTGGTATGTGTGAAAGTGAAACTATTAAAAGTCGACCTCATTTTCCTATTGTTATCACTTGATTTGTCAAAGATGAGAAACTGAAATCTTATGTTACATTTTAGATAAATAAAAGGGTGATATCATTTTAGATAAATAAAAGGGTGCTATTTTTTGCATGTGAATTTTTTTGTTTGTTAAATTATATTTGTTGCCAAATAAACACTATCTCTTTTGCATATGAATTTTCACCACAAAAAAACACGCATTTCTCAATCATTTGTTAAGTTCAGAAAAATATCCTTTATCAAAAAAAGTTCAGAAAAATATCTTTTGTATTAGACTCGTAAAATAATTTGGACCCCACAAAGACACAGAATTAAAACGTCTTAACAAGAAATACCGCCAAAACTGAAATCTAAACGCATTATTTACTCGACAAGAAAAATCTGGTGGGAACAGTTTTTTTTTTTTGAACACAGTGGGAACAGTTAAAATGGGTAAATTCGAATTCAATTGAAAACGTCACCGTTTTACTGAGCTCAATAAAAGTAGAAGACGTCGGCTCGGTGAGAAGAAGTAGAAGTGACGACGAAAACAAAAAACGAAAAAGAAAATAAAAAAAAGAAAACCGTCGGCTTGAGAGAACTTTCCCAAAGGGAACTTCTGATATTTGGTGACTCTTCAGCTTTCGTCAAAAGCTTTTCCTTCTTCTTCTTCTTCCGCTTTTTCACACACCTAATCAAAGATCCAAACGCGAATTCCAGAGCTACAGTTTCTGTATTGATTCTCGTTTATTTATTCCTTTTTTTTCCTTTCTGTTTCTATCCACGTTTCGAAGCGACCTCTGATTCTGGTTTTCGCTGTCTACTTTAATTTTGCAGATTCGAACTGTTTCAGATCTGAAATATTTGTGATTAATTCTGGTTTTGAGGAGCGGGTTTTGGTAATCGGAGCTGGATTTTTGTTTTACCGGAGGTCTGAGAGAAGTCAACGGATATGCCGGAGGAGGAGTCGATAGATATCAAATTCAGGTTGTACGATGGCTCCGATATCGGGCCCTTTCGGTATTCGGCGGCGTCTACGGTTGATTTTTTGAAGCAGAGGGTCGTCTCCGATTGGCCTAAAGGTTTGTTTGTTGATTTCAAGTTTTCTCTTTTCCGTGATCGGTGTTACTTCCCCCCAATCTGCTCTTAGTTTCCATTAAGCTTCACGAAGTTCCCGTTGATTTTCGCTAAATTCTTCTATTGTCGGTAGAACAATACGCGATTTAGAGCTGTGGATTGTTAATTAGTCTCGGATGATTAGTCCACATGAAGTTATAGGCATGATGATTTAGGAAAAACGGGCCTGTGTGAATTATGGTAATCCAGAGAATCAGTTTTGTGAAATTGCAGCCTATTTCAATGCTCTCTCTTCTTTTCGTTGTTGTGATTTCTGTAGGCAAAACAGTGGTTCCAAAGGGGATAAACGAAGTGAAGCTGATCAGCTCCGGGAAGATATTGGAGAACAACAAGACTGTTGCGCAGTGTAAAACACCATTTGGAGATATTGCTGGTGGAGTCATTGTCATGCATGTTGTTGTACAGCCTTCTCTAGCAAAAACTAAAACAGGTTACTTTTTTTCTTTCTTGTCTTGTATATCAGAAATTTTCATTTTCGGAGACGTATGCTTTCTTCAGTGATATTCTTGTTTTTGCTGCCAACCCTTGAAATTTGTCTCCGTGATATTTTGCACAAACTTGATCAAATCATTGAACTGAGTTTGTGATGTGTAAGACAATGTTGAAGAACTATAACTAACAGTTGAAAAATGGTTTGATTGAACAGAGAAGAAGGTCGATAAAGCACCCAAGGCGGTAATCTGCACATGCACCATTTTGTGAAGGGAGCAAGACAATGTATCATACACACAGTCGTCTCAAATTCTTCAGGTACAGAAGAAAACAAAAACCAAAAAGAAAGGTCAAAGTAAAAGTAAAGCTTCCCAAGCTGTGGAGTATCATAACCTTGAAATTCAAAGCTTTGTATGTGTAGAAAATGATTAGATTCTTTTGAATTATCCATCATCTCTTGTCCTTTATTTTTTTTTGTTCACACTATCTGGTATACTTCATTCGCGTCCCAAGTTGTTGTAATAAACGGAAGTTGTATAGGTTACTAGTAGTTCTTTAAGGATTACTGTGTGATGAAGATAATTAATTATGTACCTATGAAAGAAAGAAAAAAAGTTGTGCTCTTTATTCTCCATTCATTGTTCTTTTCATTACAGCATTATATAATACACATTCCCTTTGAGCACAATTATAAAGCCAATTGAAGAACAAGGAAGGTTTTTGATAGAACAAAGAAAGAAATTTCAATCGTAAAAGCCAATCGGCAAAAAAAGAAGAAAGAGTCAGAATATACATAAACTAGATAATCGTACGTTTTTCTTATATAAGTAGGGTAGATGACGTTGGTAACTTTTAATCTGTATAAGGGAAACAACATACTAATCATTTTGTGCATGATTTAGCATGTTATTTTTCTAATACGCTATTTAATTAATCAAAAAACACACTACCAGTCTTATGGCATGATACATGAATACATGATCGTTATTTCGTCCAATAAGACGCCATTTGATCATATATCACATAATTTTATAAAATCACAATTTCATAAAAATGAAGAATGGTATTTTCGCCATGTTGTATATATCACTAAATAATGAAATTGACAAAAACAAA